AACTGCACAAGAAGACCAAATTTCTCATATAAAATATAATCTGAAGTATGCACAGAGGTCTTATTGACATCAGCCACAGAGGCCTGACGGTTTTCTTGTCAAGCAAAAAAAAGCCAATTTTCAGAAGTCACCGTTTCTTTTGATTTCCTCTTTTAGCAACTAAAAGCACAGGATGCTAAATGAATATTGCAGGAGCAGAAGTCAATTGCCTGAGAGGAGGAATACAGCAGTGTAAATATTTAATCTTCCAGTCAAGGTCCTGCTATAAAGCTATCAATTAGCCCAGCACTGCATGATGTCCAGCTGCAGCGGCGTTCAAAACCCACAGTGCGTCCAGGGGTGGGTGGGGGTTCCTCCCCCGTGACAAGATGAAAGGAGTTGTGATAAATTTGGCTAAAAACTTAAATATCGCCGGATGTTAGAGTTGAAATGTCTCATTTTCAGGGGCTTGCATGTCTCTACGCTTCCAGTTCTGTTTTTTATTCCTGTCATACTCGAGCTCCGAGTGAAACATAACCATTGCAAATTATATCTTTGTAGTTTTAATATTAATGTCTGTGCTGAGTGACACAGTTGTACTTCACTCGGCATATCACAACCCTTTGGTCATCTTTGTGTGTCACATCACATTTTTATCAATGTCTGCCAACGTACCTTCATAGCCTTTTGGTGTTTTATTCTCACATACTCGCTGACATAATATACTGCCAGCAGCGTGCTTTTTGTGTTTACACACACCGAACTGCACACACACACAAAGCACAAAGAGTATTGTCCATTGTCGGTAACTGATCCTCTGTGGGCACCGCAGACCTTCTGACGCCGGCTCAGCTGTCAGCGGTTCCGGGTGCTGGTGCAACCAGGAAGCACCACAGTGCGGGAGAGGAGCAACCCAGGAGCAGCACTCAGGGTGATGCCACTGAGAAACATTGCACCACTAGTGAGTATTTATGCAATCTTTTAGACCACACACATACCCACAGCGGGGTGGGAGATGAGCTCAACAGGCTGATCATGCACACGCTTGCCTTATAGTGTCAAGCAAATGCAGAAAAAACTCAGATCCTCTCCAAATACTGCGAGCCTTTCTGCTCGACTCACATGTACTCAAAACTTTTGACTCTCCCAAACACAGCAGCCAGCAGCTGTGTCGTACTGCAACAGAATACCAGATGTATGTGATTCTCAACACACCCCACACCTGGCTCCTCACACACACGCATACATTTCTCAGCAGTGGAGAAGCAACACAGTGAGCAGCCTCATTAGCAAAGCTGCTCTCTTCTAACCATTCAGAACATGACCACGCCACAGAGCAATTACATGCCCACCTGTGGCAAACGGCAGGTGCCTAAAGGTGAAGGGGAACCGGGAATGGATGGGGGGCAGACTAATGAGGCTGTTACCTTTTTTTTTTACAAATCAAAGGTAAGCGGATTATGCAAGTAATCCGAAAAGATGTTCTCTAGCGTTTACCTGGATAGGGTAAGGGAAGACTGAGATGCTAGCCAAAGGGTCTTCTGCAGCCATGAGATCAACAGAAAATGAAAAATTTAGAGATCACTTTGAGACCCTCGCTTCTTTATAAAACGACATCATTACATAATGATGGTTAATTAATTATGTGAGATGATCAAATTTAATGACTGAAGCGGTAAAAGCTATTTAAAATGCTCTGTTGTGGCTTTTTTGTGTGCCTGTGTAGTGCACCAGTCCAACACTAGGTGGTGCTTGTCTCTCATGAGAGTTTACCTAAAGGAACCCCTACTGTGTGAGTAAACCATGCGTTCTCTGAGGGAGATGGTGCCCTCTTGAGAGAGGAGGGCATCTCTTTTTCAACGGCAAACATCTGAGAACTCAAGCTCACTGCAACTCATCAGGTTCCGTTAAAGCCAAGAGTAACAGTTTGATAGCGTGGAGGTGAAATGTGCAGATTAATGTTCACCTAAACAGCAGTTCAGGGTTAACTAATGAGGCTTTGGTAGAAGACCTCAGCACTGGAGAAGTGGAAACAAAAATATGTTATATTAGCCAGAGTATTCATATTTTAAATAATCTCCAAATTGCTGCCTGTTGTATTGCATCACATGATATTATGCAAGTGTATTTAGTCATAAGTTGATTGCTAATAACAATTATTTGCAACATTTTAAGTAATATAATCTGTAAATAATCCAAACAAATCAGTGGCAAAGTGAAAGAAGGGTGTAATTTATTAATCTGCACAGACCTTTTTTTTTTCTTTGATAACAGGTGACAGCCAGCTGTATGTGCTACCTTTAGCTGCAGTCTTTATCTATGACGCTAAATGTCACAGATACTAACCAGCAATTTAAAAGCTCTTGGGGGAGGCGTTATCAGCCTCCACCAGAGACTTAATTAATTAAGCTAACTCAGGTGATTAATTGGTGACATTGGCAGCCAGTTCTCACCTGGTGCACCTCAGCAAGGCAGCTATTAGGCTAATTGAACCAGTTATGTGCCGAGATATGACAAAGCCACATAACAAAGGAATGGAACATCAGCTGGAAGAGATCCCAGAGCTAAAGAATCGTTCCTGAAATTGCACCCACTTCAGCCAGGTCATTCTGGGGTTATTACCTTTCCCCTGCAGGACACTTTAAGGTCAAAGTTATCCTAGATCATTACCTTCCGGGGATAGAGCCTATCTGGAGCTCTTTGGGCATCTGCAGCTCTATAGGGCTTTTATCTGGGCCACCACTCTCCCTCTCCTTCCATCCCTCTTTTCTGTTTGCCTGAAGCTAAGAATTGCCCATGACAGTCAGATATAACAGAGTGGTAGCAGGGATGCAATGCACTATTTGAAAGCATGGAGAAAGTTACGTGGAAGGCTTTTTGAAAGGCTAGCGGTATTTCTGATTCAGGTGTTAAAAGCAGTTTGGGTAGATAAGCCGAGTCGTTGAGAATGTAGATGGTGGGCGGGCAGCTGCTGCTGCTGCTACCAGCCCTCTCAGGGTTAGTAAGATGGGAGACCTTGCTGCTGTTAATGCACAAGGAAATGTGAAGGGCGATGGGGTTTCCATTAGAATCCATGGGTGGCTTTGTGATAGTTTCTCTGCTCCCCTCTCCTGGCCCTTCTTTTCTCACCCTCCCCCTTCTCCTGCCACCCCCTCCCAGGAGAAAAACCAAGGCCCATTACCTGGGCCAAAGGCTGGGTTCATTCATAGTGCATCACCACCAGCTTTGGGTTCATGTGGAGTGCCTTCCTTTCATTCATAATTTAGCCCCCTGTTTTCCTGATTCACTGATGACTGTTTTACAAGCTAAATCAGCAGGGTTTCTTTCTGTGACCATCACAAGACAGCTGTTTATTAATTGCTTAACTGAACTGCAGTTTTTGATTATTCTCTCTTGCTTTGTCTCAAGTGGCCGGCTACATTTTCACTTTGGCAAAGACTAAACTCGGTGTGTTTTGTTGGCACGGTTCACCAGTGCTTTTCTTTTGCTACTTATGAAGATTGTCCTATTCAACTGTTGAACCGTTTGTGGAAGACAAGAGTAATGATGCAGATGCTGCATAATGTGTCCTCCGCGTCACTCAATGGCACGCCCAAGGCAACAGCCACCCGGCTGCATTCATGGAGATGGAACACTGCTGCGCCTTGCCTCTCCCCAAGCCTGGTATCACAATAAACAGGCAGATCCTCTCTCCATTGCCAATGTCAATCCATCATAAGACCTTGATGGGGTATTTTAAAGTCACAATAAACACTCCTTTTACCTCAGGCTGAAGTAGTCACTGCATAAAAGGATGGCCTGAATTTTGGCTCAAAGGGACAGCAGGCACGCAGCTTGTGATTTGCTGTGATGGTTGCAGCGCACAAGGAAATAGGTTAATAGAAGGGCACTCTCTTTCATTTATAAACACAAAGCGGAGAATTTGGTTAACTTGATTTTTTCATCTGTGCCTTTCATATTTACATGGACCCACTAAATGAAGTTTTACCTTGAAGTCAGCGTGCCGAAGATATGTTGAATCTGCAGCAGCTGCAAAGCGTTTGTTGTCTTTGTAGCTTTTATACAGCTCTGTTCTACAGGTGCTGCATGTAACCTAACATTTCAGGTAAATGGAATACGGATGTACAATTAGCCAGTTTTTTCAGTCTAATCATCTCATTTAGTTTGCTCCATTTGCTAAATTTTCTTAAGTACTTGAATAAGTTCCTTTATTTTGTTACAGTTCACAGTTGAAAAAAAGTAATAATGGCACTTGTCCTGTTTAAGAGGCTGCCATGTTTGCCAAATGAACTTGAAAATGAAAGAGACTGTGTTGTTGAGTCCAAAGTTTTAAATACCAGAACACAATTCTGTGGGAAGGTTTAAGCACTCGGACTAAAGTTTAGAGGCTTTTGAAAATAATGCCTCAAGTAGCTTTCATTTGTCATTACCTTCATACACATGGAGGGGAAAAAAAGCAGCTATATTGTGTAAGCCTTCATGACATTCAAAACAGCAGCAGTTCTCAGGTGCACACATGAACAGCTTTTGATAGTTCGCTTCAAACATGCCTAATTTCTTCTGTGGTTTTAGGCTGTCTCAGTTGTCTCTTCCCAGCGGGGGACCTGCCATTCCTTGCAGTACTTACTTTTCTTGTCGCTGAATATGGTTCTTTATCATTATCTGTATATTTGGAGTTGTTATCTTGTTGAACGAAGTTAGGACCTGTCAGTTGCCTGCCTAACGATGTCTCATGAGAAGAATTAAACACCCTAAGGACCAAAACTTGTCATAAAATAAGGTTTTGTTTTGGGGGTTTTTGCAGTTACATAATACATTCTTGTATTCAATTATTCTAGATATTTCTTCATGATAGTTGTTGATCAAATATAGTAAATTGCACATTTCAGTTTACATTACATGTACTGCAAACCCTTGTAAACGCCATCTGGTACAGACCAGAGGTGATGAATCATCCTGTTGTGTGGATTTAATATTTTCTCAGCTTCTCAAGGGTCCAAATGAGAACATGCTGGTGGCCAGCAGCAGAAAACAAAGCACCTTGCCTAAAGCTGAGGTGATGATGTTATTATTAGTTATTAGAACTGGACACCGATTCTCCTCAAGTCACTTCTTGGCTACCAAGCAGAAGCAATCTTGAGCTGCACACTCTGACACCCCGTGGCAGTCACTAATAAAATCCGTGCAAAGCCCCGAGCATAAGCTGCCATTTTGTGGGCACAGATGCCTGTTGGATCATTGTGGCACCAAGCGTGAAATGAATGTAAAATTATCTGTGATGCCTCTTGCTTCAATTTATTGTTTTGGGGTGCAGATGAGCTGACATCAGTGTCAGCTTATCTGCACTAGTTAATGTCTTTGAAGATTCATTCTGCGTATGTGGATCTTTGCACTCCCAACATATCTCCGCGCGTTGCTGTTGCCACATGCTAAGTGTGCACAATTTACAGCGTTGTGTGATGAGGCTCTTCACAGGATTTTAATGTCTGTTTTTTATTTCTGTGCCATGCAGATAACCATATATATTATTTTAAACCGCTTACATTTCTGTCTGAAAGAAATGAGCCTGGAGAGTTGCACTAGAATGATTGAGCATCAGTGCTCAGTGTCTCTGTGCATGCCCAATGACGACAAGCTGTGTTGCCTAAGGATGCTAGAAAAGGGGAGAGAGTGAGGGAAAGGGGGAAGTAAATGAGTGAGTGAGGGCGGGAGGCTTCTGAATGCTAGACAGAAAGTATTATAACACTGACAATTCCCTATTATGATATATGGTTAATGCCTTTTCAGAGGCTGTGCTTAGTGTTGTACAGACAGATTAGGGCAAGGGTGAGTATGAAAATACTGCCAGTGCGTAGGTGTCCATTTTGCACAGTGTTGTTTTTATTATTTTTGTTGTTCTTTGTGGAGCTCGGTTGAGCCTAAAAGCTTTCATACAGTGTATTAACAGCAACATTTCTGCTG